TCTGATGGAAAAAGACACACAAGGACCAGAGAGACTGAAAGACAGACGAAGTGAAGAAGTTGCTTGAGTTGACAACAAGTTGCCATTCGTGAGTTTCTCCACTGTGAGATAAATAAAGGCATATCTTATCTTAAGTTATTTCAAGGCGCTCGTGTAGGTCGCTGGATTATTTCTTGTTGGCTCTGTTGTACACAACCTTTGTGGTTGTAAATGGAGCGGACTGGAGGGGCTGATGTGCGCCTTTGTTCTGGGGAGATGCTGGTGCTCTAGCGACAGTGGATCTAAAATGTAGTGACAGTAAACTTGTTGCCACATGACGGCCACGGAAAGACACAGACAGGTGATTGAAAAAGGTGAACAGATGGAATGGCCTCACTCGCTTTACTTGTTCTCAGTAATCGAACAGTCATGCTCTGACACAGAAACCGGTTTCTACTCTCACTCATTAGTTTCCGAGGAAAACCTCATCATTTCACAAAACGTGTGCCTTTTCAGGTGAAGTGTGACTCAGCGTCTCATCTAGTGATGCAATCAGACTGAAACGTATTTGAAAATGTCTGCCACTTGCTTTTATTGATTTACCTACTTGTACACTCATGGAAAGGCTTTTTCCGTTACTCATTTTAAAGTAACCTTCATAGTTTGATAGACATCATAGGGGTAGTCTGGACAGTGTGGTTCAACTGCCAAGTCGAGGGAAACAGCATAAAGCCCAATAATTAATGTGCTTTTTAATTAAGTGTAGCTTGTAGGTGATTGCTTCTAAATGCTTTATCCAGTATGGATGAGAGCATCATCTTCTTTAACTAGAATGTTGACAGGCCTCTGAAAATGTCTTCTGTCCTTGCAGTCAGCACCAGCAGCCATGGATGAGGAACAGTGCTACTACAACGAGACCATCGCCTTCTTCTACAACCGCAGTGGCAAATACCTCGCGACTGACTGGAACACCGTCAGCAGGCTGGTGATGGGCCTCGGCATCACCGTGTGCATCTTCATCATGCTCGCCAACCTTCTGGTGATGATCGCCATCTACGTCAACAGGAGATTCCACTTCCCCATCTACTACCTGATGGCCAACCTGGCAGCTGCTGACTTCTTCGCCGGCTTGGCCTACTTCTACTTGATGTTCAACACGGGACCGAACACGAGGCGTCTGACTGTTTCGACGTGGCTGCTGCGTCAAGGCCTGATTGACACCAGCCTGACGGCGTCTGTGGCCAACCTGCTCGCCATCGCCATAGAACGCCACATCACCGTGTTTCGCATGCAGCTACACACTCGTATGAGCAACCGGCGTGTGGTGGTGGTGATTGTCATAATCTGGACCATGTCTATAGTCATGGGGGCCATCCCCAGCGTAGGCTGGAACTGTATCTGTAGCATTAGGTCTTGCTCCAACATGGCGCCGCTTTACAGCAACTCCTACCTGGTCTTCTGGGCAGTGTTTAACCTGGTGACGTTTGTGGTCATGGTGACGCTGTACGCCCACATCTTTGTGTATGTGCGGCAGAGGACCATGAGGATGTCGCGGCACAGCTCTGGACCGCGACGCAACCGGGATACCATGATGTCTCTGCTGAAGACTGTGGTGATTGTGTTAGGTAAGAATAATCTACCTGTCTACCTGCCTGTCTATCACCCTCTGTAGCCATCTGTCTGCCACTCTCTCTCTCTATTTGTCTGTCTTTGCAACAGCAAGTGCAGCTTCTGAAGTCATCAGCAGCAGCAGAACAATGAGTCTGTTGATGAGTGTATTTGTGAGGCTGGTGCATTGGGTCCAAGCACAGCGTCTGCCTAGCACGACTCGCATAAGGACAATAGTAGAATAAAGTTCTATTCTATTCTATTCTATCATGTGAGCCAGCTCTGTCCTCGCCGGGTCACGTGCTGTCATTCTGCACGAGCGGCGCATGCAGGTCTTTTCAGTGCAACATTTCTAGTGCGTTTAACGATCATTCCATTTCAGTGCCAGATAGGCAACATAACACAGGAATGAAGGGGCAAATGAAGTGGTTTCTGCCCCAGCACTTCAACAGATGGGGTTGTGACTTATGCAGTGTGTGTGATTATCAGAGTCCAGCTTACATCTGAATCGTCTTCACATTTGTGTTATCAGCGCTTTGGGAGATGGCTTGAAAGTGTGTGCTGAACAGTTACCTTTAAAATGCTGGACGTGTTCTCTGAGCACATCCTGAGCTGCGTGACGTCATGATGAGACGGCTGTCCATGCTGCTGTAATGTTTCAGGAACACAAACTGATTCCCCGACGTGCAGCTGTGATGAAGCGAGTTCTGCGATTACCAGCAGGTCTCGTTTTCTTGTCCAGAACTGTAAAATATTCTCAGTAAACCCAGTTGTTTTTGATAAAAATGAAGATTATCGGTTGTATTCACAGATGCTGAAGGTATGATTTAGGCTCTGCTGTTTGTGCCGTTACAGGATGGAGCGATAAAGCTAGCTCTTTGCTCGTCTCCAGGTCTCCTCACTGTGCAATAAACACAAGTATTGCTGTTACCTTTGTTCTTTACATGGACAGTCAGGACGGAGCTCAGCTGTAGATACAGGAAGCTGAATTGTTGGAAAAGAGCTTCTTCGTGCCTGGAAGCAGGATGTGTTGGTCCCAGACAAAACATGCCGATGGGTTCCATGTGAGCTGTCTCCTATGAGCTCTGATCTCATCCTGTCTTTACTCCACACCTAATCCGAAGCAGTGGACAGCAGAATGTGTAACAGGAGAGAACGTCCTGCTGCCTAGAGATGCTCTGATTATTTCTGCTTATTGAGCCTGAAAGGAAAGTTGTTCTGAGGGTCACCTGCTGACTGTGGGGGTGCTGGCTATACGACAAAGTAAATGAATGCACTCTTTCATGATATTCTTTACTTTTAATTGCACCTAATGAAGATTGTTCTGGGAGGAGCACAGTTATGACAGTGATTTTGTTATCTCTTATGTCTATTGATGCTTTGTCTGGTGTCGCTGCTGTCAGCTCCCTAATTAAAGAGATTTGCTGTTCAGGCTTCATCTCAGCTGTATGATGCTATTAGAGCTATATAACATGCATTAGGGACAACGCTATTTTCCATTAAACGGAAATGTGAACGTCCTTCCGTCTTTGCAGCTGTCTATGCAATTCGAGGAAAGTCGGAGTCACCCAGTAAAACCCTGTGAACGTATTTTCCAAATGCTGATACGGACTTCATTGGAACGCCACAGATTAGAAGTTAGACAAGTTTGAACTCAAGTGTTTCTCAGAATCAGGTTCTGGAGGGAACAGCATGGCCCAGGTGTGACAGGACCAGCAGATTCATCATATCTAGAGCAGGCCTGGGCGACAGCATGATGGCGGTACGCACCGGCTGATAGGGCAGGTGGCCCAAATGTTCATCAGGATGTGAGTGAGGAAATGTGGGACAACAGTAGAACTGACGATATGATTGTCGCGAGACAAAATACTTCAAAACTGCACAACTTTACTGGTGCACATAAAAAAAAGAACAATTATCAAGCAGCCGTTTGTGATGTGCATCAAAGCTGTGACGTACCAACATCACTGTAAGCTGTCAGCTGCTTTGCTGACAGGAAACGGGCTGACAACACATCCTGAGCAGAGTGGAGCTGAGTGGAGTTAGCAGCAGGTGGCGGGCGAATATTCGGATCTCAGAATAGCTATGCAGAGACCGCCACAACGACAGAACGATATCCGGGTCCAGCCATCCTGTGTCGATGCATCGCCCTCCTCCTCGGTCGCCGCCATGCTTCTCGCTCCATGTGCATTAGACTGGACCAAAACAACGGCCGTGTTTCGCTCAAATTTTATAGCGATATTTGAATTTCATGTCATCATTACACCGGTGGTACCGTGCACACTATGACATGGCCTCGCCCTGCCAGCTACACACGCCTCATCAATAGCGACCAGAAAACTGCTAGCTGGTTTGACAGTTTCACCAAAATGCATCAGGTGCGAAGTCAAGCATGCGCCCTCACAATCGGCTCTTAACAGCTTCTAATAATGTGCCCTGGTAGGCTTGTTTCTGTCCTAAAAATCTGCTGACAGAAAATGCAAACAAGTCTGGGCAGCAGAGGCTTCTTTAGAATCAGACAAACCCTCCTGCAAGGCGTTCTCCAGATCAGCTCCTGCCTGTCTGGGCTTGCCCTGGAGTCAATTAGCGAATAAAAGTATTTACATAAGCAGGCCTGTGCAATAAAATGATAAGTGGGGATAAGTACCAGGAAAGACAAGTGTTTAATAGAATGCTGAATGGTGCCACTTGGATGGCTCACAGCCACCGAGCAGTCCTTGATAATGGAGCTCCTACTGTTAGCTTCTGTGCAGGTCTCCTGAGGCATGCTGGTCCACAGCAGCCAGGGCCTTTTCTCCACTCTATCCAGCTGAGTGGTGCACTAGCAGCAGCCTGCACCCACAGTGGACTTGGGTCGCATGGAAACCAGTGTGGGGTCGCCTTCTGGTCAAACCCAGGTCCAAAATCTTTTATCTTTATTGCCCGGCCCTGATCTAGAAATTGCCTTTAAAATGACAGACAACTGTGCAGAATGCTGAACAGCTGAGCTGCCGCTGCTCCTCGGCTTTATTCCCACATGGATTCAGCTCTCGGGCTGGACCCCAGTAGCCCAACAGGCCATTATTGGTTCCCTGTGCTGGAATCGGACCGGATGCTCAGCACACACAGCCCCAGATATTCAGGATATTCGTCATTAATTGGGGCCGAACATCCAGAGAACAGAAATTGCTATTGGGACCAGCTCACTGCTGAAAGTAAAGGAAAGTCCAACAATTTAGGACTAAAAGAATAAAGTGTAGATAAGATTGACTCAGTGACTATTGTTTTGTAGTTTCAGGCAATTTTAATGTTTCGGGTTCAGAGAAACTGAAAACACGGTGATTTGATCATCGCTTTAAGAATACTTTAGTCAGGTGAACAAATCCCTCATATGAATGAGAAATATGTGGAACATATGAAGTTAGTGAACACATTGGTTCTGTTCTGCTGAAGCCAGAACGTTGGTGGGGAACGTCGGAGCGAGGGTGTGATGTGTTTTGCTTCAGTCTGGAATCTACTGCTGTTTCTGGATGAGGTCATTTTGAAGCTCTAAGGAGGAGATAAAGCCCCAGGTCCCTCCCTACATCCCTGCCTTCTATCACTTGCCTCTTTCAACTCGATAAACAAGCACTTATTCACATCTCTTGGACCCATCTGTTCGTTTTTGTGTAAAAAAAACCATCTTTGCCTGTTTTGAATACCCAAGACGAAGCCAAACAAAAAGGGTCATGAGTTCACAGTCTCTGGTGGGGTAGCGCTGCCACGAAGGGCTTGGTTTTGATTATGTGGAAGGCTAACATGAGTTCAGTCTTTGCTGCTTGACCAAAAAGTAAAACCCACAACAATTCCCAGTCCAGCTTCTGACCAGATGATGATGAGTGCTCCCCTGCTGCCTGCTGTCCTTTCCACTCTCAGGATACGAAGAATCAGAAAAGGCTGATTTCCTCGTAGAAACACACAATGAGATGGGAAGCACAGGCAGATACATGTGAGTCTCCCACAGTCACAGAAGCCCTGAGGGTTAATAAAGTACACTGGGACTCAAGGCTGCCTCCATTCACATAAACTCTGCTGCACTGGAGATGCTGATGGGAAAACCACACCAGGATCTGGATGTGCTGTTGTTGTTGTAGGAGATTAGGACGCTGAAGGTTGCACTACCAAGCACATTTCACCTACTTTGTGTGAGTCAGCTCAACAAAACCTTCAGCGATATTAGCCACAATTTCTTTGTTATCTCAGATTTCCTCACCAGGTGTGATGTGCGGTCGTACAACAAGCCGTGTCTGTACATGATCGAACTCTTCTTCAGCAAAACGGACCAACTGTGTGCCGCCTACTTTACTCAAGAGGAGCAGGTTGTTTTAAAGGAGAGCGATTAGGAATATAAGAATTTATTACAGTAAAGACGATGCAAGAGGAATGCTGGTAGAAAACTGTTCATTATGCTGGTACGTATACATTTTGTGCCAGTTGGTTCCCTGTCAATGCAGCGACCTGTTTGTAAGACGACAGCTGACATTGGAGCTCTAACTCAGACTAACGGGTGGATTCAGGGCTGACACTGACCCACAAGGATCAGTCTTTACTTTTTTTGGCAAAATCAAACTGAATTGATGTGATTGACGGAATATGCGATGTAGTAAAGTCCAGTGACCAGCAGTGCACAGCAGACCTGGACCAAGCAGAAAACCACATGTAGGTGGCCATGGCAACGCAGGGCACATAGTTTGCCTCGTCAGTGGTTTTACTAACTTGCAGCTCAGCAGGTTCGCAGGTATAACGTATTTATAAAGTCACTTTAAATCCTAAACCTAACTGTGGCTGCACAGCTTAAGCTCCTGTGATGATCTAGCCAGGTCAACGGGGACAACCACTGAAAGTTCTGACTTCAGACTTAACAAATCCGGCCAATTCATGCATCTGGCCTCACAGCGCACCCCCTCGGAGGTCCTGTCCGGATGTGTGGGGACTCGAGCAAAGCCTTTAACAGGTGGCAGCACCGCGCTAAGAAGAGCCACAGCGTATCGCCAAAGGC